GTTGTTTCTCAAAGCTATTCTTGTTGATTGCATCCAACTCCGAAAGAGTCCTCTGCTGATCGGAGTGAGTCACTGGTTTCAACATTTCCGAAAGAGAGTCTCTGCCTCTCTCTCGAGTGCGTTTGCAATCCAATCCAATTCATTGCTAAAAGTCCGATTCGTATATTTCTTTCAATAAGAACATTTTCATTGTTGAAATAGTTGTAGAAATAGTTGTAATAGATAGAAAACAAAAAAAACCAACTTCTCATTTATTTTCACCATTTCAGTTACTTACATTTGAAACAAATATGGACAACAATAATCCTCCTTGCAGTACTGAATCAGCATCAGAATCAACCAATTCATCATCAACACCATGTGCATTGGTGTGCATTCAAGTCACGACCATTACGAATTATCCTTCTTCTTCTTGTCAAACACATCATGATGAAAGAAGATTTATATTCAAACATGATCATTCATGAGGAGGATGAAGAGACGATGATCATGCATTCATCAGCAGAACATGATGAATGTTGTTATGAAACGACCATCACGACCACAACCATTCATCATCCTTTGACCACATCCACAACGACGACGAGCACAACGACAATGACTCAATGGTTGGATGCATCCTCTCGACGACGTCATCATGACGAAGAAGAAACAATGAACTTGTCAAAAATGCGCTCTTCGTCCTCCGAAATGCAAGAAAGTGACCAAAAATGTTATTATTATGAACCATCGATGAATTCAAATAAGGAATTGAACCTCTTGGATCATTTCATGGATCACAAGAATCGAGAATCAAATTGCCCTGAAGTGACACGTTCTTCAAAGACTCTCTTCATGGATCATGTTCAAAATTGTGTGGTTGAAATTTCAGATCAAGACAAAATGTCACGAAAATCTCTTTTCAAACATCCAGAACGAGTGTGCACATTATTTAATGTCACTTCGATTGTATTTATTTTCACATTATTACTTGATTTTTATGGACCTCTCTTTTCACCTTCCTTTCTTTTTCAAACACTTGCTGTGAGTGTGTTTGGAATGTACAGTGTGTATAATCAACGACAAGTCATGATTTCATTCTTTGCAATTTTTATTTCCATTTCATTTGCCATTACTCTTTCCGAGACGTTATTGCTCACGTGTTATGGTCACAATAGCTCTGGACTTGTCTTGTATAATAATTGGTTTCATTTGATTCGATTTTTATTGACCTTGATACTTTCCTTGTCATTATTGATTGCTTCGTTTCATGTTCGAGTGGAGGTTGCACGATTGAATGCACTTCGAAGACAATTTATTGCATCATGTTATCATCATGACAATGAACGGAGTGCAATGAAGAAGAAGAGGAACTATCAAGTGCCATTGGATATGACGATCATTAGGAAATTGTATTCGACTGAACGATCGTGTGAGGACTCTCATTTTGTGACACAGAACAAGGTGTGATCAGGAATGTCATCATGTCCTGCCCCAATGTTACATGTTCCGTCTAATGTAAAAAAATGACTAACCTGCCCTTGCATGAGCTCATGCAATTCCTTACTGCCCCAACTTGTACAAACACAAGTAAGAAATGCATGAAATGTGAGCTTACCCAATCCACAATGTAAATAACAAATAAAATTGGGTGTGCTTCTTGCAAGCATGAATATTTATGTACCTATCGTCGATGACGACACTTTCAAAAACTGCCCTCAAAATGCAAATAAAAACACCTTAATTCTATTTGTTCATGTTGTTTTTATGTACATTCAATGTGATATTGTTACATCTTTTTAACAAAGAGAGGCAATGAAGACAATGGTTGTCCTTTGCAAAATTGACTCTCAAACAAGTAGGACACAAATTCAAAACTCGTAGCAGAAACTTTCAAGGTCAATAAATGACTCTCCTCATCCACAGCACCGTTGAATCCACTACAGTCATACTTCACCTTCAAATAATAGTGATAAATCGAGCTTGTTTCGTCTGCAGAGTTTGCCTCTTGATGGTATTTGTGGATCCAATCCATTAATACACTTTTTACCATTGTCGGATCTGCACACATCATATTGAGCTCTTCGTTTTGTGTATCCATGTCCTCATCGGAATGCAGATGGCAAGTCACAAATTGCAACTCGGATCTGTCGTACATTGGTCCACAACACGTAAATAGTAATAACTTGAAAAGATATTGTAGAACAAAGTCAATTTTGAGAAGACCTAACCGATGCAGTTCACAAATCCATGACGTCATGGACTTGTCAAAACACTCACACAATGAAGGATCTGCATTCTCAATACATGGGCACTTTTCACAATCTTTGACAAATTGTGACATTTCTAAATAACATTTTTCAATATTGGCTGTAATTTGTTGGGATTTTTCGGTAATTGTACTCTTGTCTAACAAGGCGAAATTTTCAGATTCAACCTCGTTGCCAACGCCAGAGAATATGCTCTCCTCTTTCATTTTAGCGAGAGAAAAATGTGAAAAATATCGAATGATACGCTCATGAACAAGTTTGGGTTTTTCATGATGCTGGTGAAGTTGTGACGTCGTCGCCACGTCTGAGCATGGTAAAATTCGATCCTCCAGTGTTGATTTGCTCTTGTCAGCAACTCCATACACGAAAAACCAATTCGATTTTAGTTCCCTAATCATGTCTGTGAGGCTTTGCGCATTGCCACGAAGTAACGTATTCGTCGGAGAGACAGAGCTGAGCATGGGTGAGCTAGGGGATAACATGACTTCTTGATGATGTAGCAGATTCTTTTCAGGAGAAATTTCCAAATACTTGGAAGATGTTGCTGAGCTTGCATACGAATTTGCATCTCCTAAGGGTCGTGCCTGTGTGCCAACCACAATAGGCGAAATCAACTTACGGCCTCCAGATGGTGATGGTGACATGGAAGGTGAAATGCAACCGCTCGATACATTCGAATACTGTGATGAATGATAAGGCTGCAACAGCATGTTCGATTCGTTTGAGCCCTCGCCACCATAGGTGAAATTTGGCTTTAATTTCAACAAGACTTGAACTCGATGTTGAAATTCGCCATCCTTCTTCTCGATTGTACGTAAACACCTCTTTGCCAGGTAGAGATAAATTGGAAATTCAAAACAAATGTAAGGTGAAAACCACGTAGGGCTACTTAATCGATAGAACATGTTACACTTATCGGTTTGGCCCAACAACTCTGGTACCTCTGGTTTCACAACTTCCTTAAATACGGCTCTATTAAAAATCTTTTCCTTGTGCAATGATCGTTTATAGAGTCCGAACAAGACCACAAGTGCTCTCTTTGACACTTCCATGTTATTCAAATTCCAAGCAATTTGTGTCGCCAATTTGATTTGTAAATCACTCTTCTCCTCCCAAACTTGAATGCTCGACAACAATTGAGGAAGGAAATAAATGAGATTTTCCTTCGAGTGAGAAATTCTCAAATGCCAACTCTTGCATACCAAATCACACGAGTGCAAAACATCTTTCAGTGAGAGAAAACCTCCGAGAATAATTGCTCTGAAAATAGCTTCATTGGGAGAATTGGTGAGTGTGAATGATTTTTCGTCGTTGTGATCTAATAAATTGTTGTTGTTCAGGGAAAGTGTTGCTCCAATATTGCTATTGGAAGAGGTTGTAGAGCTATTGTTAACACTGGCCATCATGGAAGTTGAAAGATTCAGAGCATCACTATTAATGGCATGAACGACAGTAGGACTACTCATCTCATCGGAAGCTTTCTGATCTAGGTCATTAATTAAGGAATCGCCAACATCATCATTGTCGGAGGCAGTAGAAGAGGACGATGAATTTTCAGAAATAACACTGATGGCGACAGGAGAATTTGGAGATGGCATTCGATTGCCGTTATTCATCATGAGGAGAGAAGAGGTGGATAGGGAAGGAGTAACGACAGTTGTGCTCGATGTTGTTGTGGTCATCATGCTTGGAGTGGTCGTTGTTGATGAAACACCAATTGAGTCACTACCAGGTGCTGAGGAATACAGAGATTTGTTATTTCCACTATTGTGGATGTTGTTGTGGTTCGTTTTTGAATCATTAAGCACATCATCTCCACTATTAGTATTGGTGCTATTCGTATTGGCGTGGCCATTATTCGTCATCATTGCAATATTATGATTACTATTTCGGGAAGCAACGAGAGAGTGGGCAGAGGAAGTGGTAGATGAGGGTGTTGTTCCACTATTATGATTACCACTTCCATTCTGAACCACACACAATAAATCTCTCCACTTTTTCCTATTCAAAACTTCAATTAATTGTTGTGTACCACTTGGTCTCGGAACAGCAGCACTACCACTATTGGAGGTTTGCATCATCATGGGGGATGAAATGGATGAATGATAATCTGTTGAGGTTGATGATACACTCGGGAAAGCATAATCCAAATTGGACGATGAAATAATTTGTTGTTGCGTCGTTGGAGTCGAGGGTGCCAATGACGAAGAGGAAGATACGAGGTTAAATTTTTGTTGTTGGGAAGATGATAAATTAGGCTCACTAAAGCCAGCGGAATGGTGGTGATGATGATGATGATGCAACAATGAGGATGGAGAGGGAGTATGAACAGAGCTAGGTGTGTTTCCGAGTTGTTGTTGTTGTTGTTGCTGATGTTGGAAATGTAAGGATGAGGATGGATGATGGTGGGGCAATGAAGGCGATGACAGAGAAGACGCCGAAGAAGGAGAAAAGAGCACGGGAGGTGAGGTGGGTGAGGAAGGTGGTGAATGACCACCGAGAGCTCCAAGCATCATCATGTCTGCAAAGAGTACGGTTGAGCCAATGGTTGAGTTGTTGTTCTGTTCCGTATTGGGCAAAACAATGGGAGAAGATAATTGTTGACTCGAACGTCTCAAGGAAAGTCTTCGGAAAGCATTGGACATGGAAGATCTTCGTTTGGGAGGAGGTGGAGGCGGAGACGATATGGTATTGTTGTTGGGGAGAGTGGTATTTGAATTATTATTGACCCCACCAATAATTGGTGAAGCCGTACCATTGGAGAAGATTGGGAAGGTTGTTGTGATTGTTGTTGTTGATGATGAATATGCTCCATGACATTGGGACTACTTTTCGTTTGATTACCCTCAAGTGATGAAGAAGAGAGAATACTCGAGGAACTGCTCTGTTTGGAGGCCACATTCGAGTTGGGTTGAGGAGAGAGTGGTGGTTGGGAATGAGTCTTGGGTACATGTTGTTGTGATGGTTGAGAATGAGCAAACATGGATGAAAGCGATGAACTCGTCATGGCCTGTCCATCCTCGTGATCAACAATACCTCCTCCGTCATGCGTCTTGTTGGTTGTAAAGAGAGAAAGAGAACGAGATTTTGGATGCTCTTCATGATGATGCGTTTCCTTATTATTTGTTGTAGTAGAGGTGGAAGAATGTTTTTGCTGTTTCTTCTTGCCTGATGATGAGGATGTATTAATCATGTCGTCCACAGACCGATTGTTCTGACTACCAGGAAGAAAGTTTTTGAAAAGTGCTTTCATGATTCTATGAGATCGTTTAATTGATAATATTAATGACGATGATGAAGATGATCACTTTCAGTTCGGCAGCACAAGATTTGATGATGTGTGCTCTCTATCCAAAGAAGAAGAAGAATCAATCTATGGCCAATGTTATTGTGATGTATTTGTGTCAAATTAAATCGCAAATTTCAGATTGGTGTTGTTGTTGGGTTTCAATTCTCTCTCCTGCCTCTTCAGCAACCACTATTGACAATAATATTATAGGAATGTTCTTGTTGAGAGTGAATATCCAAATCCAATCACTTAGTCAACAGAGAGGAGACGAAAGTTTTAAACACACTCTGTATCAGAGTTGATGTTTGTTGTTGTTGTTATGGTGTTCAACAATACAGGAGAGAAAGTGTGCCCGAGTTGTTGTTTCTCTTCTTTTGTTGTTGTTGATAATAATGCTCAACCCGGCAACTGTTTGGACGACGGAAATGACTTTGGATTACAGCAATAATTGGAATGCGTCAATGAAGTGTTGTTATTGCTTTGTATAAAATCGTTGTTGACGTTTGTCCAATAATGAAGAGTGAACCCACTCAACAAGCTAATAACGAGTGATGAAACGATTTACAAATTCTTTCGTCTTGGCAATAAATAACAACACCACTCACGATGCGTCCAACGAACTCGAGAGACAATTTGTTTCTTTGAAATTTTGGAAGATTGACATTTTACCGCATGTCTTGCTTCAAAATGGCTCGGAAATGAATGAGGTTGTGACTGATCATTTTTAGCAACTTGTCAAATTGTTCTTGGGTTTCCATCAGGCTTGAGTAAGGAAATTGTTGGAAAGCTTGTGCAGCTATGGACGTTGTGGTGGTAGTGTTGTATCTGTTGGTATTGGTCTTTAATAACCGGTGGGAATAGCGTTGGAAGGTATCTGAGGCAATGAGGCATTCTCAACAAACTCACAAGAGAGATATGTCAAGAAAGACTAACGAAGGTCAGAAAAAGCTCGCCTTTATCGAGAACTGAAGTTAAAATCGCTTGGAATGCAAGATTCAATCTGACGAGAGGTTACTTTTGGCGCCGTTTTTGTAGTCATCCAAATTCAAAATTATAAAAAAATTCAGTTCATCATGCCACCTGCTAACGCTTCTAAGGAAGAAAAGGAAGATTCAAAAATTACTGATGAAAGGCAAGCATGGATTGAAAAGATTGTGAGGAACACTTTTAGAGTGTCAGAGAAGGAAACAAGAAAGTTACTTGAAACAGATGAATATAGGTAAGTAGATGTGATGTGTTGAGCTAATCATACAACGTTGTATATTTTGAATTTCATCATGTTTCCCCACCCATCGGTGTTTGTTTCGTTTTGCCCTTTGTATATATGCACATTGCTCTGGACCTTTTGGAATCTAAACTTCCTAATTGCCTCAATGTAACTGTATCCCATTTCATTTAAAGAAAAATCACAAGTACCTTCTTTGAAAATGTAGAAGCCAAACAAATTTTCATCTTCTACAACTCGGGCAACAATCTCAGTATTGCAATTCAAATGCCATCATCGTATTTGAAAAAGACAATATACTTTATCAAAAAATCCAAAGTTTCGCTCACACCTGAAAACATTGCGAACTCGCTCTTGGTTGGTGAAGTGTCGGAGTCAGCACTCGAAACACTGTCATTGGTATCCAATCAACTTTTCCTTCCAATATTGAAGAATAGTGTGGAACAATCATCATCAGCCGAAGATTCAGATGAGAAAGTCTCTAGAGATGTCGTTACATATTTTCATAAATTCCTAGCTACCGTGTATGTTACATCGGGACAAATTGAAGGAAAAACATTATTGCCAATTCCACCCGATGATGTCGTAGTGCAAGAAACAAGAGATCAAGAACAAGACAAGGATATGATTCATGCCCTCGAAACAGCAGTTGTAAATTGGGCCAATCAAATCAAGGATGTCTTGACAAAAGATCCCGAAGTTCTTTTCACCCCAATTATCATCCAGGACCATTGGATGAAATTGAATTTTGGAATTCGAAAAGAGCTGATCTAGATTCAATTTCAAAGCAACTCGCTAGCGATAAGGTCACAAAGGTCATTGAAATTCTCAAAAACAATCAAAGTACCTATATTCCATCATTTATGAAAATGGTGGAAGAAGTTGATGTAAAAAAACAAGAGGCATTCGATAACCACAGGTTTTTGAAACCACTAAGAAAATATTTTGAAAGTGTTAACATCAAGAGTGACAACCATTCAGAATATTTAGAGTTACCAAACGTGTTTAGAAGCATTTTTCACTTGATATTTATGATTTGGAAAACTTCAACTACTTACAACAAACCAGAACGTCTTGTTGTTCTAGTGAGAGAGCTCTGCAACGATCTCATTGATCATTCTAGAGAATACATTGGAGGTAAAGAAATTTTCAACACTGAATTTCCTGATGCTGTCGAGAAGTTTGAAAACACTCTGTCCATCTGCGGTTTGGTGAAGAAGTATTTTTTCGCTTACAAGGCCAAAGTTGAGCAAGAGTGCCCTAATAATCAATGGAAAGTTGCCCCAGCAGCTCTCTTCCACAGATTGGATCTATTCTTGGAGAGATGTAGAGACATACTAAATATTTTCAATCAAGGCAGATTGTTTGGAAAATTGGCAAATATTCAAATTGGTGGTACAAAAGGTGATAGTTTAAGTAGAGAGGTGAAAGATATTCACGTTAGATTTAGTGAAGAAATTGCCAAGTTTAAAGAAATTCAGTACGATGCACTAATGGTTGAAGAGCACAAGTTCGAAGAAGACTTTTATAACTTTAAGAATCAAATTAAGGAATTCGAAAAGAAGATTGGATCGATCATCTCGAAAAGTTTTGAAGAAAGTAACACTATTCATGCTGGAGTTAAAGTGATTGAAAGTTTTGATGGCCTTTTAGATCGTGAGAGTGTTCAACAAGAAATTGTCAAGAAGCAAGGTGATTTACTTACAACCTTTAGAAAAGAGTTGAAGAGAGTTCAACAAACGTTCACCGAGTCGAAAAACTCCCCAATTATTTTCCATAACATGCCACCCGTGACAGGAGCAATTCAATGGGCAGAATCATTATTGGAGAGAATTGACGGACCAATGACTAAGCTCACTTCATTGAGCAAGACTGTCTTTGAAACTTCTGAAGGAAAAGAGACTGTCAAACTCCACGCTAACATTGTTGGAAAAATTAAGCAGTATCAACAACAATTGTATACGGAATGGGCAAAGTCTGTTGGTGAGACATCAGAAACCAAGTTGAATGAAAAATTGTTGAAGAGAGGTCAAGATGGTATGGTCACTGTAAATTTTGATCCTGCACTTGTTAGACTTTTGAGAGAAGTCAATTATCTTCAAAAGATCAACACTCTTCACGAAGGTGAACCTCAATGGAACATTCCACAAGAAGCTATTGACCTGTTCGAAAAGAATGAAAAGTATAGAACACAAACAGGTAGCTTGGAGTATATTGTAAATATGTACAATGTTGTTCATTCATCTCTGATTGATGTTGAGAGACCACTCTTCCAACAACAACTCGACAAGATTGACACCATTTTGGAAAAAGCTACAACCGAGTTGTGCTGGAAGAATGATTCAGAGATTGATACATTTTTGTCTGAGGCTATGAATGCAGTCAAACTTGCAAGTCATACTCTTTCATGTATTAAGAAAAATATTGGAGAAATTGAAAAGGCTTTGGTTAAATGGGAGAAGAATCCAATGTTCCAAAGAAAGGAAACAAGAACATTAACAATGAAAGAGTTTGATGCAAGAAGCAAGGAAATGAAATCTACCTATGATAAAATGGTCAAGAAAACTGGTGAGCTAATATCCGCCAAATTGAGTGACTGTCTTGAAGTACTACGAGGAGGAAAACAAAAGTCATCTGAGGAACAAATTCCTCAAGAACTTGGATGTATTGGAGTTGATGAAAATAGTGCAGCATGGAAGAATTTCGTAACATATGCCAATAATATGGTCATTGATGGAATTTGTAAATCTGTCATGGCCTCCATGAAATCTCTAATGGAGCAAATGAGTGTTGAATATTTGCAAAGAACTGAACAAAGCCCATTCCTCGAAATTTCTCTTGTACTTGAAAAGAAACACACCAACATACCACATCATGATATTTATGAAGCATCATTCAGTCCTAGTCTTAAACCAAAAGATGAAGGCTCATTCAAGACGGTCATAGATTCATGGATCAATGATTTCTGTACGGTATCGGCCTCTATTTCCCGATTAGACACAGGATCAGGAGATTATCGGAAAGAGGTTATGCAAAATACTGAAATCAAGAACGCTATCAAGCAAATTCATGACAGCGTTGATTATGTGACAAATGAATGTAACAAGTTTGCTGAACAGTTCATAGCACACAAGAAAATTTATGAGATTGATCAAAAGGAGCACTTTGAAGAATTCCTAGAACATACTTTACCACACGAGCAAACTAAGGGCAAAGCCTACAACATTGATGTTGCTAAATTCGATGAGCAAATCAAAAAGTACCACGGTATTTATGAACAAATCAAGGAGCTGACAGGTTGTGACAATGCAGGATGGCTACGAGTGGATGCCAAGCCAATCAAACAAGAATTATTACGAATTTGCACCTCGTGGGAAAAACAATTCTCCAACTTCTTGGCCAATAGCGTCTCTGAACGACTCAATGATATTTTCAGCTTTATGGCTACTGTTGAGAGTGGAATTGACAAGGAAGTTGCTACCGGAGATATTGCCACGCTGAGAGAGGTGATTCGATACATTCGAGATATCAAGATTGAGACTGAGAGCGAGCATGGCATTTTCCAACCTTTGCAAGAAATTACTCAACTCCTTGCCTCCTACGGTATCGAGCTTGCTCCAACATTAATTTCTTCGCTTGAGCAAGCACCAGCCAAATGGGATGGACTTTATAAGAGATCATTGGTGAGAAGAACCGAGTTGAGCGATCTTCAAGATCAAGAATCTACCAAAGTGAAGGAACAAGGTGTTCAATTCGGTAAACGAGTTCTCAAATTCCAAGAAGAATTCAGAGAGATTGCTGCATTCTTTTACAAATCAGGATCGCAAGAAGCTTACAAGTCTATCGACAAGTGGCAATTACTTCTTGTCGACATGGAAAAGGAGGCAACTAAATTGAGAGAGTTGCAAGACTTGTTTGAAATTACTGTAAGCGAGTATAATGCCCTAAAGACATGCAGAGAAGAGGTTGTTTTGTTAAAGTCTCTGTGGGATATTATTGCTCATATTCTCTCACTCTTTAAGGATTGGATGAAAACTTCATTCAAGAAGGTTGATGTGGACGCTCTTGTTGAAGAATCAAAGAAGTTGAAAAAAATTATTCAAAACTTTAATGCCAAGGCCAGAGCTTGGGACAGTTATATTGGCTTGAACAATGCTGTAACGAACATGTTGACTTCACTTCCTCTTGTTCAAGACTTGAGAAATCCTGCTATGCGAAGAAGACACTGGGATGAATTGTTAGATGAGACTCACAAGAAAGGTGCCATTGATCCAGATGACAATTTTAATTTAGATCAATTATTAGATCTCGGTCTTCACAGTTATGTTGATACTGTTCAAACCATTGTAGACAAGGCAAGCAAGGAGTTGATCATTGAAAAGAGTTTAACAAAGGTTGAATCTACATGGGAAAAATTAGCCTTCGTTTTTGGTATGATGAAGAATTGAAATGCCCAATTTTGGGTAGCGTTGAAGAAATTGTTGAGGTGCTTCAAGACAATCAAGTACAATTACAAAACATGTCAACCATGAAATATGTAGAATTTTTCATTGACTCTTTAACAAAATGGCAAATTGCACTCTCTACCATTGATAGTATCATTACAGAATGGGTAGGAGTACAAAAGAAGTGGCAAAACTTGTATCCAATCTTTATGATGTCCAAGGATATCAAGGAAAAGTTGCACGAAGATGCTGTAAGATTTGCTGAAGCCGATTCCGAATGGAGAATATTTATGGATGTGGCCAAGACAGTACCAAAAATTACTGAAGCATGTACTGAGCCAACAATTCGTACAAAGCTCAACTCCAGCTTGGATGTATTGGAGTATTTACAACACGTAGAAGAAAAGTTAGACATGTGTCAAAAGTCGCTCTCAGAGTATTTGGAGACGAAATGTAAGGCATTCCCAAGATTCTACTTTATCAAAGCAGGAGATGTTATTGATATTTTGAGTAAGGGTTCTTATCCCAAGCTTGTCATGAAACACATGTCAAAAATTATCGAAGCTACTTCTACTTTAACCTTTGATGAAAATTCTGATATTGCTAACGGTCTTATTAGTAAGGAAGATGAAATCATCTCGTTCCCTGAAAAGTATGAATGTAAAGGTCCTGTTGAGGATTGGTTGAACGGCGTATTGAAAACGGTTGTCAAGTCTTTAACCACCATTTTAGGAGAAGCTCATGCTGCCTACGTTGAACAACAACGAGATCAATGGGTCTTCCAATTTCCAGCTCAAATCGTTGTTGTGGCTTCTCGTGTTTGGTTCACAAGCGAAGTCAACTCAGCCTTTGAAAGACAAGAAGAAGGAAATAAGAACGCTCTCAAAGATTACTATAATCAACTTAAGGATCAATTGGCCAAACTAACTACCCTGGTTCAAGGAGAATTGACTTCAGGTGACCGAAAGAAGATTATCACTCTTATCACTGTAGACGTTCACAACAGAGACATTGTTCTCAAGCTGATGGAGGAAAAGGCAGAAAACGCTCAGGTATTTACTTGGCAATCCCAATTGAGATATAGCTGGGATGATACTAAAGGTTGTACCATCAACATTGCTGATGCTGAATTTAAATATGGCTATGAGTATATTGGTAATTGTGGTTGCTTGGTTATTACACCACTCACAGACAGATGTTACATTACCCTAACACAATCATTGAGATTAATCATGGGAGGTGCTCCAGCCGGCCCTGCAGGTACAGGTAAAACTGAAACAACAAAAGATCTTGGAAGAGCTTTGGGTATTCAGGTCTATGTGTTCAACTGTACTGAGCAAATGAATCCAGCTTCATTGGGTAATATTTTCAAAGGTCTTGCTATGACTGGTACTTGGGGTTGTTTCGACGAGTTCAACCGTATTAGAGTTGGTGTCTTGTCTGTCGTTGCCACACAATTTAAATCCATTCTTGATGCCCTCAGAGCCCAAAAGAAAGAATTTATTTTCGAACAGGAAAATATTTCACTCATTCCAACATGTGGTGTTTTCATTACCATGAATCCTGGTTATAAGGGACGTACAGAGTTGCCAGAAAACCTTAAAGCCTTGTTTAGACCTTGTGCAATGATTGTTCCTGACTTTATGAACATTTGCGAGATCATGTTGGCTTCAGAAGGTTTCATTAATGCAAAAGATTTGGCTAAAAAGTTTGTGACACTCTACAGATTGAATAAGGAATTACTATCCAAACAAGATCACTACGATTGGGGTCTTCGTGCCATTAAATCTGTGCTCGTTATTGCAGGAGGTTTGAAGAGAGCTGAACCAACAGTCTCTGAAGATCGAATTCTTATGAGAGCTCTCCGAGATACCAATCTTGCCAAATTATCCAAGGACGATATTGAAATTTTCAAAGGACTCATCAGAGATTTGTTCCCAAGAATTGAAATTGAGCCAAAGAGTGATCCAGAGTTGGTGAAGGCCATTAAACAAGCAACTGAAGAACGTAAATTACAAACTGGAGAAAATGATATTTTCATTGGCAAGGTTGTTCAATTCAAGGAATTGCTCGATGTAAGACACTCTGTATTCGTTTTGGGTCCTGCTGGCTCTGGTAAGAGCTGTGTCTGGAAAACATTAGCCAAGGCTTTTGAAATTCAAGGCAAGAGAACTTGGTTCCATGTGCTCAATCCAAAATCTGTCACCAGTGGTGAATTGTATGGTTATACTCATCCTGTTTCAAAAGATTGGAAAGACGGTCTTCTTTCATTCACAATGAGAGAAATGGCTGAAACTAAAACCTCAAATCCAAAGTGGATTGTATTGGACGGTGATATCGATGCTGAGTGGATTGAATCCATGAACACAGTCATGGACGATAACAAGGTCTTGACTTTGGCCAGTAATGAACGTATTCCACTCAATCCAACTATGAGAATGCTTTTCGAAATTGACCATTTAAGAAATGCCACTCCTGCCACAGTTTCTAGAGCTGGTATTCTCTTCTTGAACGAGACAGACATTGGATGGCAACCATTCAAAGAAAGCTGGATTGAGGCAAGAAATGTTGAAAAAGAAAAGCAAAACCTTGATCGTTTATTCTACACCTATGCACCACACATTCTTGGATGGCTTAAAAAACATCATCATATCATTCCAAGACAAGATATCAACATGATTCAAACTTTGTGTTATTTGTTAGAAAGCCTCATCACACCCGAGTCATGTCCACCAGGATGTTCTCATGAAATTTATGAATACTACTTTGCATTTGCTTGTGTTTGGGCCTTTGGTGGTGCTCTAGAAGAGGATGAAAGAATACTTTTCAACGGAATGTTTAAGAAAGACTTCCCACAAGTTAAATTCCCAGATACCGCTACCGTTTTTGATTTCTATGTTGTCACTGAGGGAGACAGTGTCCGCCTTGAACCATGGTCTACTAAAGTCCAAGAGTATATTCATGACCCTGAATTACCATTCAGTGAAATTGTAGTGAATACTGCTGACACTGCCAGATTAACGTATTTGACTGATCTTTTGGCAGACAAGAAGAAACCTGTATTGCTTGTCGGTACTGCTGGTACTGGTAAGACTACTGTGGTGAAAGGAAAGCTGAGAAATCTTGATGAGGATACTCTCTACACGACCATCAACTTTAACAGTAATACCGACGCTGAATCATTCCAAAACATTCTTGAACAATCTATTGTTAAGAAGGCTGGTAAAATGTATGGTCCACCAGGTAGAAAGAAGTTAATTTACTTTATCGATGATTTGAACATGCCAAATCCTGACAAGTATGGAACACAATCTGCAATTGAATTTTTACGTCAACACATGGATTATGGCTTTTGGTACGACAGAAACAACATGAGTACTAAGGAAGTCGGTAACGTTCAATATATTGCAGCAATGAATCCAAAGGCTGGTTCCTTTACTGTCACAGGAAGACTTCAAAGACACTTTGGTATGTTTGCTTGCACATTCCCAGCAGATGCAGACTTGAGAACAATCTATTCTCAAATTATCAATTCTCACTTGGAGACCTTTGACAAGAAAGTTCATAATGTTGCTGGTAAATTGGTGGAAGCTACTATCAAGTTGCATAAGGAGGTTTCAAAGTTCTTCTTACCAACTGCAGTTAAATTCCACTATCAATTTAACCTTAGAGAGATTTCTAACCTTTTCCAAGGTCTATGTCGATCAACTAAAGAAAATTACACAGAACCATCTCAACTTATTAGATTGTGGATGCATGAATCGTTCAGAGTATTCTCTGATAGAATGACTGAGCATGAAGATGTTGCAAAATTCAATGCAATGGCTACCAAAATCAGTAAGGATGTCCTTGATTGTGAAATTACAGATGGTGAGAACTTGATATTTGCATCATTCATTTCTGACCAAGATGGTAACGGTCCTTACATTGAAGCAACAGATTATCAAAAATTGAAACAAACTCTGGAAAGAAAGTTGGATGAATATAACTCATCACGATCCATTATGAATCTCGAGTTGTTTAAACAAGCTATTTGGCATATTTGCAGAATTAGTCGTATTTTATCAAATCCAAGAGGTAATGCTCTATTGGTAGGAGTTGGTGGTAGCGGTAAACAAAGTTTGGCTAGATTGGCTTCATTCATTAACAATTATGAAATTTCGCAAATCACTGTTACACCATCCTACAAAATTCTTGATTTCAAGAAGGATCTTTTGGAATTGTACAAGAAAGCTGGTGAAAAGGACATGAAGATTTCATTCATCCTAACTGACTCGCAAATTATTGACCAAAAGCAACTTGTGTTCATTAACGACTTTTTATCATCTGGATACATCCCTGAATTGTTCACACCTGACGACATTGAAAAATCTATTCAAGCAGTTCAACCAGCTGTTAAATATGCTGGTAAGGATCACAATGATAAGAAAGTGTGTTGGGACTTCTTCCTTGAAAAAGTCAAAAAGAATTTGCACTTGGTGTTGTGCTTCTCTCCAGTTGGTGAGCAATTACGTACTTGGTGTAGAAAATTCCCTGCCATCATGAATTGCTCTGTCATTGATTGGTTCCATGAATGGCCAAGAGATGCTCTCATTTCTGTGGCTTACAGATTCCTTAACTTTGATGATCTTCAATTAGGAGATGAAGCCATGATCACCAATATTTCTGAGCATATGGCATTTGTGCATGAATCTGTGAGCGAAGCTTGTAAGACTTATCAACAAGTGGACAGAAGATACAACTATACAACACCAAAGAGCTTCCTCGAACTCATTGAAGTCTACAAGAAGTTGTTGGCAAAGAAGAGAGAAGAGCTCAATAGCACTATTGATAGATTAAGCAATGGTTTGACCAAGATTAATGAATCTGAAGAAAAGGTGAAAGAATTGTCAACCGTTCTTGCTCAAGAAGCTATTGTAGTCGAAGAGAAGAAGAGAGCCACAGAGGACCTGTTAGCAAAAGTCACTAAGGAAAATACTTTCTTGGCGAGCCAACAAAAAATTGTGGAAGAGGAAGAAGTCAAGCAAAACAAGGTTGTTGCTGAAGTTAATGCTCTTGCAAAAGTTTGTTCCGAAGAGTTAGCAAAGGCAGAACCTCTTATTGAAAAGGCCAAGAAGAGTTTGGAAGTGTTGAATGTCAAGGACTTCCAAGAATTGAAATCATTCACAAACCCACCAGCTTTCGTCGACGTTGTCACTGCCGCTGTCATGATTTTGAAAGCTCCAAGAGGTGTTCCAAAGAATGTCGTTTGGGCTGAAAGCAAGAAGATGATGAACAATCCAAACCAATTCATGACCGAACTAATTTCATTCAATGCTGAAACTATTCCAAAGATTCCACAGGAGAATATTGATGCCCTCAAAAATAACAAGTATTTACAACATCCAGAATTCAAGCCTGAATTGATTCAAAGCAAGTCTAAGGCTGCTGCAGGTTTGTGCGACTGGGTCATTAACGTGGTTGCGTTCTATGACTTGGACAAGTTGATCGAGCCAAAGAGACAACAATTGGCTCAAGCTATGGAAGAAAAGGAAAAGAATGAGAGCCACCTTAGAAAGATTAGTGACAAATTGAACTCACTCAGAAAGGCCAAAGAACAAGCAGAATTGGAACACAACAATGCTCAACAAGAACTGATTAGAATTGAAAAGCAAAAGAAAAAGACAGAAGACAAGCTCAGTCTTGCTCACAGATTGGTCAATGGTTTGTCTGACGAAAAAATTAGATGGGCTGACTCGATTAAGGACCTCAAGGAACGTGAAAAGACATTGATTGGAGATGTATTACTGGCATCTGCTTTCCTTTCATATGTTGGGCCTTTCACTAAAAAGTACAGAGATCATTTGGTGAATGAGAAATGGATTATTGATCTCAAGGAGAGAAAGATTCCAACAACCGAAGGTATTGATCCTTTGTTTGGTGTTTTGGCTGAAGATGCCCAAGTTGCTCAGTGGAATAACGAAGGTCTCCCATCTGATAGAGTTTCAATTGAAAATGGTGCCATTGTCACAAATTGTAAACGTTGGCCGTTATTGATTGATCCTCAATTACAAGGTGTCAAGTGGATTAAGAACATGGAAAGCAAGAACAATTTACAAGTTGTTCAATTGACCAAGAAGGGATATTTAGAGACTCTTATTCATGCCATCATGAACGGCTATCCCGTGCTGTTAGAAAATGTTGGAGAGTCAATTGATCCAATCCTTGATCCATTGTTATCACAAAGTTACACCAGAAAAGGCAGTTCTGTCAGTATCAAGCTCGGTAATCGTGAGGTTGATTTCGATCCTAAATTCAAGCTCTATATTCAAACTAAATTGCCTAATCCTCATTATCGACCAGAAATTGTTGCTCAAACTACCTTGCTTAACTTTATGGTCACGGAACAAGGTCTCGATGATCAGTTACTTGGTACTGTTGTCAACAAGGAAAGACCTGACTTGGAAGAGCTTCGTCTTTCTTACTTGAGACAACTAAGACAGTTCAAGATTGACCTGAAGAATTGTGAAGACGCTCTTAGAAACGAGTTATCGAACGCTAAGGGTGACTATTTGGAGAATCACAGACTCATTGACAACTTGGAAGCTACCAAAAAGAAGTCACAACAAATCAAGGTTAGCTTGAAAGAAATTTTGGAGAATAACAAGATGATTGATGAAAGTAGACAAGTTTATAGACCTGTATCTATTAGAGGTTCCATGTTGTACTTCTTGATTGACCAATTGTCCAAGATTGATCACATGTATCAATATTCACTTGAAGCTTTCATGGTTGTGTTCAATAAGGCTCTTGAAAAGGCAGAAGCTGCAGAGGCTGTAGAAAAGAGAGTGGAAAACATTGTTGACAGCATCACCGAGACATTGTTCAGCTATGTGTCAAGAGGTTTGTTCGAAAGACACAAACTCATTTTCTCAACCATGCTTTGTATTGAGATTATGAAGAAGAAGAATGAACTCGATCCTACTCACATTGACTTTTTGTTGAGAGCACCAAGAATTGATGGAATTGAAAGAAAGGAAACTGTGATTGGATGGTGTTCTGAATTGAGTTGGGCATATGTTCAAGCATTGAGTCAAATTGAAGGAACAACACCAGCATTCAACCTCCTTCCTGAGGACATGGCTGGTTCTTGGAGAAGATGGAAGGAATGGACAGAGTTTGAAAAGCCAGAAGAAAAGCCACTTCCATTAGAATGGAAGAACTTGACACCATTCCAAAGATTATTAATTATTAGATGTCTCAGACCTGACAGATTGACAATGGCTGTCACAAACTTTGTTAAGGAACGTATTGGAGAAAAATATGTCAGAGATATCCCAGTTGATTTGGAGGTTTCATACCTCGATTCTGGCCCAACCACACCACTGTTCTTCATTCTATCACCTGGTGTAGATCCTGTCAAATCTGTTGAAAAGATTGGTGAAAAGTATGGATTCACTACTGCACTTGGAAAATTCAAGAACGTTTCATTGGGAGAGGGTCAAACCGTTGTTGCCGAAAATGCTTTACAACACGCTTTCAGAACTGGTGGTTGGGTCATGTTGAACAACCTTCACTTGACTCCAGAATGGTTAGGTACATTGGAAAAGAAGCTTGACCAATTTGCTGAACAATACAGTAGACAAGAAATGAGAGAAAAGAAGAGAAGGAGAAGGAATCAGCACTGAAAAAGACATCTTCCACGACCAAGATCAATGCCGAAGAAGCTGAAGTATCCATTGAGGTTGCTGAAACGACACCTCCAGCTGAAGAACAACCAGCACAAATTCCAGCTGAGGAACATCATGACGACGATGAAGAAGAGGAAGAAGACAATGGACATCCTGACTTTAGAGTTTTCTTGTCGGCTGAACCTTCGAATCAAATTCCAATTGGTATTCTGCAAAGATCCATCAAATTGACCAACGAACCTCCAAGCGGATTGAAAGCAAACTTGGTACGATCTCTGTTGCAATTTGATGATAATGTTTGGGAAGGAAGCTCCAAACAAACAGAATTTAAGGGAATTTTATTCTCCCTTTGCTTCTTCCATGCCTGTATTGTGGAAAGAAAGAAGTTTGGACCTCAAGGTTGGAACAGAAATTATCCATTTAACCTTGGTGACTTGACAACATGTATTCTTGTATTGAACAACTACTTGGAAGATAGACCAAAGGTACCATGGGAAGATTTACGTTATGTCTTTGGTGAAATTATGTATGGTGGTCACATTACTGACGATTGGGATCGAAAACTCTGCAAGACCTACTTGGAAAAGTTCATTCGCCCAGATGTAGTTGATCAAATCGAGTTGTGTCCTGAATTCTTGTCACCACCCACCAATTTGAGTCATAAGGGTTATTTGGAATATGTGGAAAAGAATCTTCCACCTGAAAGTCCTGTTTGTTATGGATTGCATCCAAATGCAGAAATTGGTTTCAGAACTGCTCAAGGTGAAAATATGTTTAACATGATTACAGAAATGCAACCAAGATCTGCTGCAGGAGGAGGTGCTGGAATGACCTTCCAAGAAAAGGTTCAAGCTGGTATTCGAAGAATTTTAGATGCACTTCCTGAGCCTTTCAATTTGGAGGAAATTTCTGATCGACTCGATGAAGAGAGAACTCCTTATCAAAACTCCTTCTATCAAGAATGTGAATACATGAACAAGTTGCTAGCCGAGCTTGATCGTTCACTCAAGGAATTACAAAGTGGTCTGGATGGTTTATTGACTATCAGTGACAAGATGCAAGTTCTACAAAACGCCATCTACATGAACAAGGTACCAGAGACATGGGCTGCTCTTGCTTATCCATCTCCAAGAAAATTGGACGGTTGGTTCGATGATTTACTTCAAAGATATCAACAATTGTTGAACTGGACAGCTGATTTGCAAACACCAAAGGTTGTTTGGATTTCTGGTTTGTTCAATCCTCAATCATTCTTGACTGCTATCATGCAAACTATTGCTAGACAAAAGACATGGGCTCTCGATGAAATGACTTTGGTTGCAGATGTGACCAAGAAGTATGCTGTTGATGAAATTGAACAAGCTGCAAGAGAAGGTGCCTATGTGACTGGTTTGTCGCTTGAAGGAGCTGCATGGGACTCTAAGAAGGGAACATTGGTTGATTCCAAATTGAAAGATCTCCATCCAAAGATGCCAATTATTCATATTAAGGCTGTCCAAAACGAAAAGGCTGATCCAAACAGCTTCTATGATTGCCCTGTTTATAGAACTCAAGAAAGAGGTCCAGATTATATCTTCACTTGTAAATTGAAGACTCGTGATCCTCCATCCAAGTGGATTATGGCTGGAGCTGCAATGCTTTTGGATTGTCCTTCAACCATCTAAGGCTTCCCAAAGTTGTAAATAGTAACCTGTTAATTAAACAATCAATTATTGTCATTATTATATGACCTCGAACGCTCAAAAATGAGATTTTTTATCGAAAACGAACGAAAAACGAGTTTCAACGACTTTGAACGAGTTCCAACGAGAATTAAACATTATTTTCATCCATCCGGAGACGTATGAATATTTAAAATACATCTAATCTTGTCTGCAGTGATTGGTCCAACGACAATTTTGAAAAGTTATTTGTTTTTAATTTGTAAAGCGCTTGAAATTAAGGAGCTTAAAGGAAATCGTCATCGAGATCATCAAATAATTTCGATGTGGTGGCCTTTTTCTTTTTCTGAAGCTCTGCCTCTCGTTTCTTTTTGGCTTCCTCATCTTCTTCGTCATCTTCAAACAAGAACTTGGTAGGTGTGTTTGTTTTCTGGACAGCTACTGCTGTTGTTTGCAACCAAGGATCAATTTGGCTTGCGTCACTTTCTTCATCAAATACAGACATGAGAGGTGATTTCTTTGAAGATTGTTCTGGTGATGGTTGAACAAGCGACGATGAAGGAGAGGATGGTACATTGGATTGAATGGTTGGAGGTGTGTCTTGTTCTGTGGTTGTCTCAGCAAGATCTTGTTGTTTTTCTTCGACTTGTGAAGCGGTTCCGTCTTGCTCAGAATCTTGAGCTTCTTCGTGCTTAAGAGGTGTTTCAGCATCTTGCACACCTGGTAACTCTTGTTGGTCATGTTGTGTTTCCTCATCCTCCTCTTGATGATGACCATTCGATTGAACATATTCCAAGTCGTCATCACCTTCAGCTTCCTTTGTAGGAGCAATGACTTCTACATCTTGTGTGGACACAAGAGTAGTAGAAGTTCCATTTTCCTCTTCTTGCTGAGAACGAGTCGTTGTAATAGAAAAATCATCAACATTGGCAGTTTCTTCCTCACGTGCTGTGTCCTCGGTGGTGGTTCCGTTTGTGAGTGGTTCTTCACTTCTTTCAACGGTTGCAACTTCATTGTCTCCGTCTTGTAGGGTCACATGTTGTTCTTCACTTCTTTCAACATCAGTTGTTGGAGTCTCTTCATCAGCAACATCAACCACAGGTGTGCTCGCACTCAGAGCAGAATCTTCGTCTTCTTCCAATGAAGATTGAATTGTTCGTGGTTGAGGTGTTTCTTCTTCTTGTGCTGCCTGTGGTGGTTGTTCTTCTTCTTGTTGTTCCTCTCTTTGCTCATCATCCGCTGTGCTTGAGCCGGTTCCACGACCGCGGTTGGTTCAACAATTGTTTCCAATGATGAGTTTTGTAAATGTTCATCTGCATCATCTTCCTTCTCAATAGGATGAGCCTCTTCACTACTACTACTACTACTACTACTACTACTACTACCACTGATATCAATAGCCTTATTCTTCAACAATTCTAATTCTTGGCTCAATACATTAAACCGTTCTTTCCACTCCTCCTCTACTTGTTTCCGAATACTCTCTAAAACCTCCTTCTTCTCATCCTCGCCCTCATCATCATCACCATTACGATCATGTGCCTTCTGTCGTTCAAGTTCAAGTGCTTGTTGCAATTCTGTAATTTTTTTTGTAAACTCTTCCGATACTTTCTCACGAATGGCTTGCGCCATGACTTCCATGTTGGGTTTCTCTTCTTCTGCAGGTTCTTCTTCCTCTAATTGTAAATCTTCGGCTTCTTCTTCTTCCAAATCCAAAGTGAGAAGAGATCTTCGTCGAAGAATGGCTTCATCCATTTCGTCTTCATTTTCTTCTTCTGGATCATAGTCAATATAAATGTTTGGATCGAAATTCAATAATTCAACGCCACTAAATTCCTCAGAAATTAATTGAATGGCCTTCAAGCTGAACTTTTTCACAATTTTACCTAAGAATGCAGATGTTGCAGCTTGTGAAAGTTTCTTTCCAGAAATTCCTTGAATGAAGGTATGATAAATCTTGTTCACAAGAGTTCTAAATATGCTAGTGAAAAGAGTTCTCACATTGTCTGCCTTATTGTCCAATGCTTCCAAGAATTTCTCACGAAGTTTCTTAAGATTGGCAGTATTTTGTTCTTCCAAGTCGGAAATTTCTTGATTCTTCGATTCGAGCTCTTCATTGAGTTCAGTAATCTTGGAGGCCTGAGCGGTGGCTGCTTCCTTAAGTTTGTTCATGCTTTGTGTGAGATTGGAAATTTCCTCCGAGGTTTGTTCTTCCAAGTTCTCAACTTTTCCTTCCATGATTTTTCAATACTTTCACGAAGCATTTCTGCTCCAGATTCCGAGTTTTTCATACTCTTTTCCATATTTTCATTGTGTTCTGTTCGAATTCTTTCAATTTCATGTTTTTGCTCTCGTTTAAGTTTTTGAATGGCCAAATTGTGCTCGTTTTCAAGTCGTTGAATCTTCTCGTTGAATTCTTCTTCAAGAGAGGCAATCTTTTCCTTATGATCATTCTCTAATTTGATCTTCTTCTTCTTATTTTCTGCATTGACTTCTTCAATTTCCTTTTTCAAAACTTCAATTTCACTTTGCAAATTTTCAATAGTCTCCTTTTCGGATTGAACCTGTTCTTGAGCTCGTGAGGTTTTTCTCTTTTGTTCTGCAAGTTGTTTACGAAGATTTGCAATGGTTTCATTGAGTTTTTGCAACTCCTCTTCATACATGCCCTTCTCTGACAAGTTATTGCTCTCGAGACTCAAATGAGTGAGCTCCAATTGTTGTTGAGCATACTTTTCTTGCTTTTTGCGGAGTTGTGAAATTTTCTCAATCAATGAATCCACTTGTTCTCTCTCTTTTTGAAGATCTGCTTCAAGTTTCATGTTAGTGGCCAATAAATGTTGAATGTTTTCAACAAGGAGAGGACCTGACATGAAAATGTGTGATTTCTTGAATTTTCTCAATTGATAGCCATGAGTAGAAATTTCCTTTTCAGCATCTTGCTCTTCTTTTTCTTCATCGTCGACAGTTTCTCCGTCTAAATCACTGCCAAACTTGACTGCATTTCTAATGAGCTGAGTGAAAGACATGTTATCAATGGTTTTTTCAATCTTATCAAGTCTTGTCAAGAGAACTGAAACGTCATCAATCCATTGATTGGTATTGCCAGAAGTAGTAGTGACAGTGGTAGGTACATTGGCAGGCTTCTTCACCTCAGTATTAATCGTTGGTGTGGAAACTTGAGAATTCTTTTCAATACTTGGTTGCTGAGAAGGTGTATTGTTGTTATTTTGTGAAGTAATGAGAGACTGAAGATTTAAAAGCTGTTGTTTGAGAGCTTCAATTTCGGCATTGCTTGTGGCGGCTGTTGTTACAGGTGAAGCCACTGTAGAAACATTGCTCGATGGAGGAGGTGTTAAAGTATTGCTACTATTATCAATGGCATTCACGTTGCTAGTTGTCACTGTGTTAGTGGTTGTACTAATGCCGCTATTATTCACAACAGTTTCTTGAGTTATAACAGGTGCCTGTTGAGTAACTTGTACTACTTCTTGAGTAGTTACTGTCACAGGTTGTTGCTCAATTTGTTGTGGTTGTTGTTGTTGTTGTTGAGGTAAAACAACTCCATAGGAATGAGCTCCAAGTTTTGCCATTCTTGATTTCAAATCACCTTCTGATTGAATGGCCGTTGGCGGAGGTTGTTGAACTACCATTGGATTTGCAACAACAGTTGGTGTCACAGTTGTGGGTGGTTGCATATTCACAGGAGAAGGCATGACAGTATTTTGTGGTGGCATGACTGCAGATGATGAACTCTTCATCTTTTTCATTTTCACAACCTCAATTTGGAAACATAAAATACTGTTAGGTGGAATAACATTGGAAACTCCACGTTCTCCATATGCCAAATGGGCTGGAATGACACAGAATCTTCGACCTCCAACACGAACACCCTTCAATGCTTGTTCCCAACCACGAATCACTTCTGATTCTCCAAATTTGAATGAAAATAAATTAGCTGAATTTTCATTGGTGTCAAACAGTTTACCAATGACAAGACCTTTCTTTGCGTCATTGTCAACAAGCCATCCAGAATATTTCACATAAACTCTATATCCCTCCTTACAAATAGGAGATGATGAATCAGTACTTCCAAGAGTGTTTGCCAGTTCGTTGAGGTTGACTGTGGATACTTCCATATTAGGTTGTCCCATGAATTTGGCAATACAAATTATTTTGGCGAATAGAATGGCATCATTTGCATTTTGGAATCCAATTGAAAATATTCTATTACTGTGCAAATCATGCAACGATGCAAACGTAGATTGACCTTGTTGCAATGTGAAAAGTGTATGTTGCGAAGTAATGGGTAATTGAAGAATGATATCTTGAGGATTTCTATAAAAGATCAAACTTGGAATTGGAAAATTGTTGAGAATTGCTGCACCAACGCTTCCCAAAGGTTGATATTGTCGTACTTCATTGGAGCTGTATTGTGTTACAATTGTCCATGATTCATATCATGGTATAGACAGTAATAGTCCAATGTTTCACACATAATTTCACACAAAAACGAAATGCTTAGTTTCACACACCAATGAAATATAAACACTTACAATGAGAATAATTGAACCACCATGGCATGAATTACAGATCCATTCTCACCTCGAGTCTTATTTGGTACGGCCATTTGAACCACGTTTTGAGAGGAAGTTGTGGTCGAACCATTGGACGAGGAGTTTGTTGAGCTGATGGATGAGTTGGAGAGTTTTCTTTGAAGTGAAGCAGATGGTTGTTGTTGAGAATTTGGTTTGAATTTGAAATCAGATTCGCTTTGATCGTCTCCGGATCCTCCGAACAGAGAACCTAAACGACTTCCACTGTTATTGTTTTTTGAAAGGAGTTTGTGAAAATTGTTCAGAGTTTGAATGATCATTATATTTTCAAATATTGAAATGTCATGATGAAGTTATTCGATATCATCACATTGGGTCAACAATTATTCCATCAAGAAAAATCAGACCAAAAATTCATGAAATAATCATCATTGTAAATGTGATCAAATTTTTATCAAGCCCATATCATATATTTTCAAAGTCATTATAATTTTCAGAAATTTCAAATGGCATGCACTCGAACACACTTACGTTGCCGAAGCGAGTGGATTTCCGTATGCAGACGAAGACATGGTCGTGCTCTCGTCATCGCTGTCGTCCAAAAAACTCATTTTTTTTTGAGAAAAGATTTTTTCACACTCCGTTTGTCTTTTGAAAATGATTCGTGGCAAATTACATCAACAAGGATCACCCACCCAGAAATGAAGGTTACAAAACTCATCTCGTAACAGCCTCAACACGATGTAGAGAATTGATGTTGAAATTTGTCCAAGATTCCAAAATTGTGCTGGAAAAATTCAAATTAAAAAAATAAGCGGAACGAGAGAAGCATTGCTCGAAGATAAAATGCATTATTGAGGCATTATCATCATCAACACTTCTTGAAATCTTCTTGTTCTCACAAGCCATCTTGTTTCTTGTATAAATTTAGCAGTAAATATATTTAATATCGATTTTAGTAGAAGCCCAGAGAAAGAAACCACACATCTCTGTGCACATCTATCATCAACAACAAACAACATCTCTAATTTAATTACATAATTTTCGTTATACCCATTCCTGCAGCATCAACACCAATCTTCAACAACAAGCATGATAACAAACGATTACGACGAAAATCCCCGAAGACGTCCCACGGAAGAAGATGATGACGAAGATGATAATGACCCACAACAACAAAATGGTGGTGATTATGATGAAACTGGTGGTTTTGATGATGGACCCAAATACCACAACAACAGCAATCGCATGTTGGGTCAACGTTCAAATTCAACCATGATGGGAGGCGATTACTATGATGATTCAGGCTTTTCTCCAGCTGTTGGACAGCAACACAGCAATCCAACAAATATTATGAACAATGTTTCGCCATCATCAACATCTTCAGTTTCACCTCCATATGGCGGTCAAGGATCATCAGGAGGATCATCAGACCGACTGGCATCATTCAGGTTAACAAAATCGAGAAGAAGAAAGTCGGCCAATATGGTTGAGAGACCGGTCTTCTTTACTTCAGAACGACATCAACCTTTTGTTCCCGTTCCAAAAGAGGTTATTGACTGGAGAATGAAACAACGGGTAAGTGGGGTGTTGAATAGTGTTACTTCTCACCTCTTGATATCACCGCATTTGAATCTCACAATATTGTTGCAAATGTAATTCGATTTTGGTCGGCATATATTCACAACCCATCGATGCCTATCTTAAAATCTTTGGCAACCAAACACAAAATTTCAATTCTTTGGGTTGTTTCATCATCACTCACAGTTGAAAACTGTACACGTGGCTCTCGTAGTATGTCTCAATATCGGTGTAGATCCACCAGATGTTGTCAAAGTACATCCATGTGCCAAATACGAATGTTGGGTTGACCCACAAGCACATCCACAAAAAGCTCTCGAAGGCATTGGTGCTAACTTGAAAATGCAATATGAACGATGGCAACCAAGAGCTCGTTACAAGCAATGCCTCGATCCAACAGTCGAAGATGTAAAAAAGACCTGTGTACAGTTGAGAAAGAGTGCCAAGAAGGAACGAATTTTGTTCCACTACAATGGTCACGGAGTTCCCAAACCTACCACCAATGGTGAAATTTGGGTTTTTAACAAAACTTTCACCCAGTATATCCCTCTTTCATTGTATGATTTGTATTGTTGGATGGATTCTCCATCAATTTATGTATTTGATTGCTCTAATGCAGGTATAATTTTGAACAGTTTCATTCAAATCATTGAACAAAAAGATGTTCCTCCACGTGGAAGTATGATGAGAAAGGAAAATATTATTTTGGCTGCATGTGGAGTGAATGAAAATTTACCAATGAATCCTGATTTCCCAGCAGATTTATTTACATCATGTCTCACAACTCCAATCAAGATTGCTCTTAATTGGTTCATGCAACGAAACAAACTTGTGGACGGTGTTACAGAAGAACTCATTGATAATATTCCTGGGCGAATTAACGATAGAAGAACACCAATTGGAGAGTTAAATTGGATTTTCACTGCTGTCACAGATACCATTGCATGGAATGTGTTACCTAGAGATTTGTTCCACAAATTATTTAGACAAGATCTTTTAGTTGCTAGCTTATTTAGAAACTTTTTATTGGCTGACAGAATTATGAGATCTGCAAATTGTACACCTGTGAGTTATCCAAAACTTCCAGAGACTCACAACCACCCAATGTGGGACGCATGGGATTTAGCTTTAGATCAATGTGTCTCACAACTTCCAAATTTACTCAACAATCCCAATGCTGAGTATCAGTATAGTCCATTCTTTTCCTCCCAACTAACAGATTTCCAAGTTTGGTTAGATTTTGGACATCGAATTCAGAAACCACCAACTCAACTTCCAATTTTGCTTCAAGTTTTATTGAGCCAGAGTCATCGTTTGAGAGCTTTGACACTTTTAGGAAGATTTTTGGATATGGGAAGTTGGGCTGTTAACTTGGCTCTTTCTGTTGGTATTTTCCCATACGTTCTCAAATTATTACAAAGCAATTCTTTAGAGCTTCGAAGAATACTAGTATTTATTTGGACCAAAATTTTAGCACTTGACAGACCTTGTCAAGTCGATTTGGTCAAAGATCATGGTCATAGCTACTTTATCAATATTCTGGTAGAACGAAATAATGATAGTGAGCTACGAGCAATGGCATGTTTTGTTCTATCGGTCATTGCCGATCGATTTATTCCAGGCCAACAAGCTTGTTTAAAGTACAAGAATTTGTTTGATGTTTGTGCAGCTCAATTGATTGAACAGGATTCACTTTTACGAAAATGGGCATGTTTGTTAATTGCTAAACTATTGGAAGACTTTGATGAAGCTCAAGAAGTCGCAATCAAAGTTGGAACACATGACAAGATTTTACACTTGTTAAATGACGATGTTCCAGAGGTGAGAGCAGCTTGTGTTTTCACATTGCAAAAGTTTATTGGTTTGAAGCCTGAAAAGACTGAAGAACGAATTCAAGGTGAGATTAAAATTGGTACTGCTCTCTATCAGGTGATTTTGGATGGTTCACCTTTAGTGCGAAAGGAGCTTGTTTATGCACTGGGTACTCTCATTCAGCAATACGGAGAATACATTGCACCTGAATTGCTCAAATCCATCATTAGAGAAGAGACTCATCATCTCACCAGTGCTCCAACCCCGATTCTAGTTTCTGGCTCCAATCCACAAAATCCTTCTACTCCTAGTACTTTAATTTTCCAACAAAAGAAGAAAAAGAAGAAGGATAGAAAAACCTTGGAAGCAGACCTCAACTCTCAAACTCCAACACCAAAAGATTCCAAAGTATTGAAAGACATGAAGGACCGAGAGCTTGGTACTCTCTCATATTTTGTATTGGATGTTTGTCGAGTGGTCATCATGCTTTGCTTTGATCCGGTACGTGAGGTCGCAGAAGAAGCTCACAAGATACTTTCCTTCATGAAGTATTCATTCACGAAATTGAATGATGATGAATTTGAGAGAGAGCTCTTTTTAATCAAAGAAAAGGCCTTCAATGCACAATCTGTTCCAAAGAGTCCTTCACTGAAACCAATGCCAAAGCGATTAATGGATAAATTATCAATAAGAAAGAGTGCAAGCGATTCTGATTTCTTAAAAGCAGGGTATGCTCAACAACAAAACAACTACTCGGATGACGATACTGACTCTGACAGCATGGACGCCACTTCTGCCTCTACCCATCAACTAGTTTTTATGAAATCTTCCTTCTACGAAAGAAGTTGTGAATATTTTTCGAATCCAATTCTACCAGAAAATGTAACAAAGGATGACTTTGTGTCACCTCAAACATTGAAGAGACGAAAACGTAATGAACATTTAGTGAAGGAAGCTAGTACCATGTTGAAACTTGTTGGTAAGAGAAAACTTGAGGAGCAAATTGGATTCTTTGGAAATGAGACTGAAATTGTCTCGCAAATGAAATTCCACGGATTTGAGCCATATCTAGTAGTTTCCGATGAAAACGACGGGCTTACAATTTGGAACTGGGTCCGTGGAGCCATTGTGAATCAATTCAAATGTGGTGACATTCTGAAGAGTAGAATAACTGATTTCCACATTATTAACGAGGAGTCAGAACAATCCATGCTTTTGGTTGCTTCAGCTGCAGGTAATGTGGCCATTTACAAAAATTACGAAAAGAAAGAGGAGCCTGTTTCTTCTTTCAGAGCTGCTCATGAAGCTATCGCCAACGAAAGTGGTTTGGGAATTTTAACTGAATGGCAACAACATAATGGAACATTATTTGTCACTGGAGATATCGAAAAGGTGAAAATTTGGGATGTTGAAAAGGAACTCTGTGTTCAAAATTTGCAATTGGATTCTCCTGTAACCTCGATTACTTCAGATCCAAACAATGGCTTCCTTTTTGCTACAGGCTGTACCAATGGCAAGATATTAATTTTTGACAAGCGAGAATCGAGTTCGAGTCCTATTTTAAGCCATCAACTTATTTCACACTATGAAGAATGCCACAAGAATTGGGTTGTAAGCACCAAGATTCAAAATGTGAACAGTTATCAAGTGATTAGTGGTTGTGCCAACGGTGACATTATGTTCTGGGATACTCGAGTGACCAATAAGTGTGTCAAACAATTCAATGCCCACAAAGGTTCCATGACTGCTCTGGCCATTCATAACTATGCTCCAGTACTTGCATGTGGTAGTAATAATCAATTTATTAAGGTTTTCAATACTTCTGCGGAAACTCTAAGCATGATTTATTATCATGATGGATTTTTGGGTCAGAGAATCGGTCCAATTTCATGTCTTGCATTCCATCCTTTCCGAATGTGTCTAGCTGCTGGTTCTACTGATTCTATTATTTCACTGTACTCGAGTCAAGAAAAGCCATAGATTTAGGTGTGAATAAAATGTTTTTAAAGAATAAGTGTTATTTTGTTCCGACAAAATTTCGAAAGTTCAACAAGATCCAAGTGTTGATTCTTCCGTGGCCGTTTTGAAAGGCTGCTGAGCGTGTAACATCCATTTCAAAAAAAAAACATCATCTTTCTCTCACCACTCTTACACGAACACACAGGTAGGTTCTGAGACATGATCATCATCAACCTTTGGCTAACACACGTGGTCATTTGATCAATTTCATGTCTGATTGAACACTTGTATTTCACTTGTGTTTTTGAATTGTACCACGTATCATGATTCACCCGCATTCGCTCATTATTTCACAATATCATTGATTTTCCGTAATCTTCCATCTTGTTCATCACGATGATGATGACTCTCATAATGAACCATAATACATCATGACGATGATGATCTACTACACTACACACCACACCCACACACCATCCACCAACATCCATCATCACGCACAGAATCATCATGGTCTTTCATAGCACTATTCAAAAACCTTGCGAATTGAATGATCAACTTCCACTCTCCCACATGATCATTCAAAAATGTCGGGAGCATGGTGATCGTGTGGCCATGATCGATGGAACAGCATCCTCTCCCAACGCACCTTTCAGTTCTCTCACCTTTTCTCAAATGGCCAATTTGATGATTACCATTGGTAATAACTTGGTGGATGATTATCAAGTCGAAAAGGGTCAAGTATTGGCTCTCTTACTTCCAAATATGCCCTTGTTCCCATGTATTTTCCATGGAGTGGGTTATATTGGTGGAATTTGTACTACTTTGAATCCATTATATTCTGTGGAGGAAATGCAAAGTCAATTGCAAGACTCCAATGCCATCATGATGGTTACGGTTCAACCCTTATTGGAAAAGGCTTTGAAATCAGTGGAAGGAACTGGTGTGAAGAAGATTTTTGTGTTGGGATTGAGCTCGGAGCAACAATCAATGAAAGAAGATGTTGGTTGTCAAGTGTTGGATGCCAAACTCTTGTTGAAAACTCCAAAAAGTACTGAAATGATTTATGATCGCAAGATTGTTCCCAAGGAAGATCTTGTGGTATTGCCTTATTCTTCTGGAACGACTGGATTGTGTAAGTATTAGTGTGCATTCAAATCATGGTTGAATCATGATGTGAAAAATGCTGTTTCCAAATTTGTAAATTTTTCAACATGAATTTTCAAAACTCTTGTGAAATAGGCAAGGGTGTTTGTCTCACACATTACAACCTTGTGAGTAACATTCTCCAAATTGGTGTTGAATTGGAACCTCTTACGACCAATGATGTCATTATTGCTGTCTTGCCCTTCTTTCATATTTATGGATTAACAGTATTGTGTAATAAGGCTCTCTATGAAGGGGCCAAAGCAGTGACAATGGCTAAATTTGATTTGGAAACATTCCTTAAACTCATTCAAGAAGTAAGTGTTGTGTCATTGTTTTGAAATAATAACATTGTTTTTTTGTATGCTCGTCATGAATAATAGCATAAAATTACTCGAGTTCATTTAGCTCCACCTATTATTCTGGCATTGGCCAAACATCCCATTGTGGACAAGTATGATTTGAGTTCACTCAAAGTCATCTTGTCTGGAGCTGCACCACTTTCGGGAGATGTAGCCAAATTGGTGAGAGAACGTTTGAAGCTTGTCGTGAAGCAGGGCTATGGATTGACCGAGTCTTCACCTGTATTGAGGTAAGTGAGGCGTTGAGATTGTGAACTTGTTGTTTTCAATCAAACATTTACACATTTGAAAATTTCCAATTTTGTTTTCTGAATGTATTCTCCTTTCATAATCTGAATGTGACAAACTTCTCAACAATTTAGTGTCTGTGGTGATACTCCAGAACGTATCAAGGATGGATCTGCTGGACTCTTACTCAATCATACCACTCTCAAAATTGTTGACACTGAAACTGGTGAAGAAATTACTGAATATGGTAAACCAGGAGAACTTTGCTTTGGTGGACCTCAAATCATGAAAGGTATGTATTACATGATCTCTTGTATTCATTTCTAAATAATTTTGTTTGTAAAACATGATCTCTCGTATTCATTTCTAAATATCATCAGGTTATCTCAATAACGATGAAGCTACCAATAACACTCTCAAAGATGGTTACCTTCACACTGGAGATATTGGCTACATTGACCAAGAGGGATTTATTTTCATTGTCGATCGTCTCAAAGAACTCATCAAATACAATGGTCATCAAGTCCCTCCATGTGAATTGGAAGGTGTTCTTTGTAAACACCCAAAAATTCTTGATGCTGCCGTAATTGGAGTTCCCAATGAAGAGACTGGAGAATTACCAAAGGCTTTTGTAGTATTGAGACCGAATGAGAGTATGACTGAGGAAGAAGTGATGCATTATGTGGCTGAACATGTGTCACCTGTGAGAAAGGTTCGATTGGTAGAATTTGTGGCTGAAATTCCAAAGAGTATTAGTGGAAAGATTTTGAGAAGAATTTTGAAGGCACGTGAATTGGAAAAGTTGAAACAATAGAGATAATTATTCATAATAATGATTAAATATCGACAAAATATATTTATTGTAAACAATACCATAGTTTCCTTAAAAGGTCTTAATGAAACCATCAAAAAAAAATGTTCAAACCAAAGCAAACATTCCGATCGATGATGATCAACAGGACCTCATCTTGGAAATCCTATACAGAGATATTGAACACGAATATTATTAGCAAACGGTATATTTCTACTCAAACGACTTCTCAATTGATTCGTCATTTCAAAAAGCATCATCAACATCGAGGCTTTATTGTTTTTAGTAATTCTACAACGGACAGCCCCGATCAAGAACCTTACAAGTTGAGCCATCCATGTATGGAGCCAGTATTGGAGTACATTTCATCACAGCAACAAACAGCTATGTCTTCTGTCGGAAAGGTTGAAAAAGGCACTGGAAATATGGAAGCCTTGTTTTTGGAAGTTTCTCCCGTGACTCAGAGTTTATTGGGATGCTTTATTCATAATACAAAACGTGGATTGGCTTTAGGAAGTATTGATTTGTGGCATTACCCACATGCTTCTGAATTTGTGAATGCAGGACTAGTACAAAGTGCTAATGCAGCCAGAAGAATGGCACTCACGAATCAATATTGGGGTATGTTCATTTGTAACGAAATGAGTTGTGTCTATTCACATCATTTGATGCGTAACAAAATACCTGACTTTGAAATCATCGCCCAAGAATAGGTGGAGGAAAAGCAATTATTCAAACCAATCCAGATTTTACGTTAAATTACTCAAATCCAGAGGTGAGAAGAACGATCATGAATGAGCTTGGAAGCTTTATTTCATCACTTAGAGGAGTTGTGTATGTGGATGGAGGTTTTGGAATTAACTCTCATGACATGGTTCATGTTTTTGAAAGAACTCGTTTTACAACCTTTACACCAAAATTGTCCATGAATGGAAACTTGACAGCTCAGAGTCAGGCCAAGACCACCATTGCAGCTTTGGAAGGTGCAATGAGCCTGAGAACAGGTTCTGAAGACTTGAGTGACTGTATTGTGGCACTACAAGGAATCAAACACAATTTTGAAACTTGTAAATTGCTATTGCAAAAGAAGGTTGGAAAAATCATCTTGACAGACACAGATCCGATCGTTATCAAGAATGCAAAATCTATATTCAATAGAGAAATTATTGATGGCAGGGTTGAGGTGCGTCTTGTTTTCGAAGATCAAGATTCCATTCTCCATTTAGACAATGTAGATATGTTAGTTCCCTCCTCTGGAATCAAATTGAATGCGCAAAATATTTCAGATATTAAGGCCTCAATCATTTGTGGAGTGTCATTGAGTCAATTCGAATCGATTGACCTCGAAAAAAATTTGAGAAAGGACCAAGATGTCATCATCATCCCCTCTCTCGTGATTGAAAGCTCGTCTTCCATTGTTAGAGGTAATGAAGTGTATGGTTTTATTCCTGAAATTGAGAGTGATCCAGAAATTAACAAATACTTTTCACCACAGTATGACTTCTCATTTTTCAACTTGGTTCGAAGAATGATCACTCTTTCCAAAGAGAAGGATTTGTCGACTGAACAATGTGCTGTAGAGATTGCGGATGAAATTATGAAACAACCACATCCATTCATTCCCTCAAGAGGTTCACAAATTATTCAATCGTTAATCAAGGACGAGTGGAATAATGCAGATTTTTAACTAAAATTCATTGTTTGAAGTGTTCTTCTAATGTGTATAAAGTAACAATTGAGTTCCTCAATTCATTTAAAAAAGATAGTTTATTGTAGTTATTCATCAGACTGAACAATATTGAGCAATGGAATTTTACAAACTGTGTGCGAGAATGGGCTTGTTTGTCGAGTGAAAATTCTCTTAATGTCAGTACCGTACAAATACAAATCAGATCCAACAAAGGTTGGTGTGTAGAGAGAGAGCGATGTTAAAACATCTCCTGATACTGTCCACGATCCCAAAGGATCTTCCGTTGTTGCAAATGAGACTCTTGGATTGTAGTCATTCAATGTTCTTGGGACTCCTTTGCTTGCAAAACCTCCAAAAATGAAAATGTAATCACGTGTGACCACCATTGGACCATCTGAATAAGTGAAAGGAAGCACTGAGTAAGTATTTTCCCATTTTGATGGGAATATGTAAGGTGCTCTCAAAATGTCACTATATGCTTCTTGAGATGGAGATCTACCTCCAAAGATGTAGAGGTATTGACCAATTTGTGCAATCTTTCCACCATAAACTTGGTTTGGCAGGACGTCTGGTGAAATTGTCCAAACTCTTGGTTCAGTGATTGATGCTCGGATAATCTTATTAGTGACAGAGTAGTTTTTAGAGTCTGTTGAATGTATACCACCGTAAATAAATATTGTGTCGTCTACAACAACACAATGGCCTGAGGCAATGGGATAGGGTAATGTGTATTTGAGTTGTTCCCATCCATTCTCAACATCAGAAACAGGGGCTCGATAAATCTTGTCGCTGATAGATCCATTCACAACTCCTCCAAAGAAGTAAATGTACTCTTGAGCTCTGACAACATGTGTATTGTAAATGGTGCCAGGGAATGCTTTCTTGGTCTTGTTATTGTAATCGACAAGGTCCCAAGTGTATGGATCGCTCAAGTTTCGATAGTGTAACTGGAAGCCGTTCTCTACCAAAGGATAGAATTGCTCGCCAATAAATTGATAAGCCTTGTCATTAACCTCAAAGTATGGGTAGTGTCTTCTTTCCAAAGAAAATCCAGTGTTGGCGTCAAAAGTCCATCCTAACTTGAATCCTGTTCGATCAGTTGTAATGTTTGGTAACAATCCTATTGTTCCTTTTCCTGTTCCAACAATCATGGCGTCTGTAGTGAAACCTACTGATGCCTGGTCCATAGCAGCAACTTCAGTAATTAAATGATTGTACAATGTGTCGGTTGGGAGGTCGGTAACTGGTGAAGGAACGGTTTGATAATAATTTCCAGAAGCTCCTGCTCTAGTTGTATGACCTAATTGATAATTCGTATTCTCGCCCCATGAATACCACTTGCCGTCATTGGTTAATGCAAATGCAACATTTCGTCTAGAATAAATTTTGACAATACTCTTTCCAACAATATTTGTCAATGACACCTTGGTTGGTGTGCTCTTGGTAGTAGTGTCACCAACACCAAGTTGGCCCTTTTCATTTCTTCCCCATGCAAACACTGTTCCATTTTCGGTCAACACCATTGTGTGGTAATCTCCGCATTGTAAATCAACAATGGTTTCATCACCAAGTTCAGCAGGTTTTGGTATTGGTACAGCTTCCATGATATAGTCTGCAGCAGATTCGTATCCTAAACCTAATTGTCCATATTGATTGTCTCCAAATGAGTACAATTGATTGTCGGTCGTCAGTACAACTGTGTGAAGATCACCTCCGCAAACAAGAGTTACTGCTTTGTTGAGTAAAGCGCCTTCCATGTAAACGTTGATTGGTTTGTTCTTGTCAATGGTTGTTCTATCTCCTAATTGTCCTCTGTTGTTTTTTCCCCAAGCATAAAGTTTACCAAATTGATCAATGGCATAAAAAACGTATGGTGCTGCAGCCACTTGTTCTACCATCTTTGGACCCTGCAAATCCCAAGAACAGACTTTCAATGGTACCACACGAGGTTCAATGGTACCATCACCAACTTCTCCTTTACTATTCTCTCCCCAAGTATATACTTCGTGACCATATGCAAGAACAATGTTGCTATAATAGGAGGAATCAAATTGGAGAATTGTAAGGTTTTGTGGAAGTTGGACAGGTTTCGAAATATCTAGACCATAGGTAGCTCCTTGAGTGTATTCAGATCTTCCTAGAGAGCCCTTATTGTGTCTTCCCCAAGAGTACAATAATCCATTTCCATGAAGGTGGAGACCATGCTCTTTACCTGCTGATAATCTGTTTCTTTTTCTAACGACAGGGTGATAAGAGGCATAATTGCGCAAGTAGCCATGAGTAATATTAAAGACCAATGGAAGTGGAGCAGAGGTTTCGTTTGTGATCGTCCATTTTGAAGGGTCGTTGAGATAATTAACCGAGTCCTGATCAGTTTGTACAATTATTTATCATTTACGCGAGAAACAAAATATTGTAACACTTACCTCCACCAATCTCCTTAACTTATTGTAGGTATGGTTGAAGCCTGTGTTAGTGAATGCTATTAAAGAGTCGAGCTCCTTCACCGTGGCTAAAACATTGTTGTATTGCTTGACCTTGTTTTCGAGCATTGTTTGGTATTGGTCTCTTGGTATGCCGAATTGTGAAATATAATTCTCAGAGTACTGGATGGCTTCGCTGATGACAGATATCTTTTCAAGAGTTCTTGCCTCGAGCATTTCTTTCTTTTGACTCTTGTAATCTTGCAACACCGAGTAATAGCTATCTCGTCTTTCTCTATACAAGCCGATTTTATAATAGGCCTCATCTAATGGCAGCTGTTGTGTTCGTACAAGTTGTAAAACTATTCATTCATCATGGTCATATTTTCAATAGTTCCTTATTAGTTTTACAAGCCTCAATATTATGAATCTTACCTGAGCAGATGAATAAACAGGCCACCAAAAGACTGGCAATCCCAGATCTTCCGAGCGAAATAATGGAAGGTCTGCCTTGTTGTTTCATTTTTTTGTGGTGTGGTAAGCCTGAGGCCATTACGATCAGACTAAATTAACGGTAAATTTACAGCAGCCTCAAAACACACACCATAAAAAAATGACTACAGCAAGGGCAACCTTGCCCTCATTCGCTCCCACTGGCAAGATGTTCTCGTCAGTAGTAATGATGATGGCTTTGCTTTTCGCACTAGTGATAGCCACCGGATATGGTATGTACCTTTGTTTCATTTCAACAACTCATCATCTTTTGATATCAATTTCATATTTCCCCAACTATTTGAACCTAACTTCATTACCATGGATACCTTCAACATCATGATACTTTCAGTTCATGTTGCTTCACAGGCCCCTTCTTCCACTTCATTCACACAATACGTCATCTCGCTCATGTTCATGATCCAAAAGAGGGCTAGTTTAATGTCCATCAAACAGGATTTTCTTACGAAAAGAAGCGCTGTTCAATATTCGCAAAGAATCAACTCGAATACGCAATCAGCAATGGCCATGTCGAAGCCTTACGTGACCAAGTTAGGTCTCAATCAACAACAATATGATGCTCTATTGGAAGCCAAGATTAAACAAGCAGATAAATCCAATCAGGATCTATACGAAGCAAATAGCTACGTAAACGTCACGGAGAATGCCATTTTGGTGACAAACGAAAATATCGAATTAATCAATCAGGTATGTAGGTTGGAAGTTTCAAAAGTATTCTAATAGAAATTATTTTAACCCATTCATACTCATTTTAACCTCTCACCTCAGAATCTTACCAGCGTACTATTAAGCTATCACAAATGGCAAACTACAGAACAGCACTTGATTTCTGGCAATATGTCCATACAACCAGTGAATGGATATATGGAGTCATATACCACATTTATGCCCGTTCTAAGAATTAGAAATAGAATATCGGCAGGTGCAGGTCATGGCCTGTTCATTGGACCAAATGGTCGAGTGTACTCATGGGGAGTAGATACAGGAGGTAGCTTGGGAAGAGAAGCCACAAAATCTCAACCATTTCCTTCGTTGAGCACTCCTACTGACCTGCCAGCCAACCTTACCATACAGCAAATTGCTTCTACATATTATGGTAATCTCATCTTGAGTGAAGATGCTGTCTACGATTGGGGTAAAAACGATTACGGACTTGCTGCTGATGGTACTATCCTTAATAGAAAAGTTCCAACCAAAGTGTTTTCTTGGGATTTGCAGGGACCAAAAAGAATTGATCAAATTGCAGCTGGTGCATTCAACTACTTTGCAGTAGATGAGAATGGCAAGTTGTACTCATGGGGAAGAAATGATAGAGGACAACTCGGAGATAGAACCACCATCGACAAATGGAGACCTGTCGACGTTTACATGAAAGGTTCTCTTGTGAATCAAACTGTTGTTAAGGTTTGTGCAGGACAATTACATACCACTGTATTGACTTCACTCGGTCAAGTCCATACCTTTGGAGACAATACGTTTGGACAATTGGGAATTGGAAGAAGTGGCAGTGATAAACCATTCATTATGGAAGCAGCTAATGTTGTCATGAATGGCTCATTGGCATCTAAAACTGTTGTTGATATCCAATGCGGTGATTTCCACAACCTTCTTCTTACCGCAGATGGTAAAGTTTATGGATGGGGTCTCAATAACAAGGGTCAAATTGGTGATGGCTCTATTGCTGCTAGATTATTCCCTGTACAGATTCCAGATTACTCTTTTGACAACCGAAGAATAATTTCAATCATTGCTGATATGAACGTTTCTTTTGCAATTGCTGAGAATGGTCCTTTATATGCTTGGGGTCAAAACGATAATTATCAACTTGGTGTAAATGCATCTTCGTATGTTACTACACCTCAAACCGTGTCTCTTCCAGCAGGACTTGCTCCCGTTGAATTGGTAATGATGGAGAAATCCACCATCATGCTTGCAACAGACGGAAATTTCTATGGTACAGGTTATTCATCGTCGAATGCTGAACTGCTAAATGTTACTACTCCACAAACTAATTTTTCTCTTGTGTATGCATTCCCTAAACAATACTTACCTCTAGAGAGAAGACACTATCCTTATATTGAACTCAATGATATTTCATATTCGTTCGTTGGTAGACATTTCTTCTCTTTCCCTGACAATGGTTTTGATGCATTTGTTAGAAATAACACATCTCCAGAGTATTGGAAAATGTTGGATTACCACAACGCTACCCGTAAAATTTTCCAAGGTTCAATTTACAATACTCACGTTCTTCGTGCCAACAATTATGTTTACATGTTTGGAGGAATAGTCAATGGTTCCATCTCAAATGTGATTTACAGAGCACCTATTGACAATATTGAGAATGGATGGGAGACTGTCAAACAAACCTTACCTTATGCCGTTGCATCTGGAATGTCAATCTTACTGGATGATTATTATTACATTTTTGGAGGTCTAGTTTTTTGGCAAGATCAAGCAGGTTTTGTTAATATTTCTGCCACGTCTTCGATTCTGAGATGCCATGTTTCAAGTCCAACCCAATGGGAAGTTATGAAATCTGGTAGCCTTCCAAAAGGTGTCTATAGTGGAAATATTGCAAGGATTGACGATTATGTCTACATATTCGGTGGTAGAGTCAGTACAGGAGATGCTTATGCTGATATCTTGAGAGCTCCATATCTTAACGTTAGTCAATGGATCAACACTTATGCTGTTTTACCTTTCCCAATTGCAGATGGACCAATGGTGATCACTGATGACAATATTTATATCTTTGGAGGTTATATTTCGGAAAATACTCCTGACGTTTTGGGCAAGTACATTAAGAGAGTATGTGTGACTACTAAGAAAGATCCTGTTGGAATGTGGACCGTGTCAGGAGATGATCTTCCAACCGTACCTGCTCATTTAGCAGTTACAACATCTGTAGTTGTTGATAATAATCTGTACTTGTATGGATATGATTCAACAAAACCAACGACGACACATATCCAAGACAAGTTGGTCAACTCTTTCGTTCGAATTCCTTTTGTATAATTAATATTAAATAAGTAGATAACATCTAGTTCAGTGTTTGTCACACCATCTTGAGTACTTGATTTGTCGTCGTGGTGTTTAATGACCAATATCTATGGCCATTACCATCGCCGAATATATACACGACCAAAGTGTAGTGGCCGTATATTAGTCATATTAGAACATGCTCTACTGTTTCACAACAACACCAATCATTGATCGTTCGATTCCAACAGATTATTAATTTTTGTCCAATAATCGGGATCCTTTTGATTCGCTTCATTATGAATTTTCATACATTCCTGAACTTGATCCAAGCTCATACAATTACTCCATGGCATCCATGCATGCTTGGTGAGAAAGAGATCAATACACTTCTTTGAAACTTCAATTTGTTTTAACTCTTCGAAAGAGTTACTAATTTCTGCATGGAGACTATACGATCGTGAGAGACCGAAGGGTCCACAAAATTTCGAATTTTCTTGATTGGTTTTCTCTACAGCGATCATGGCTGAATAGACTTGTTCTTTGGTGAAGGTTGGTCCAGTCCGTTTTGGTTTGACAAACTGAACGATGTATTCTCTTTTCGTTTCTGGGTTTTTGATTGCTGGCATTTTTTTAAAATTATTGCAAAAATGATGAACAAGCACAGCCGTCTTTGTCAACATTTCTCATTGCTCATTTATCTCTCCAACAAACACAATAATTAAATTCAAGTTGTTCATTTGGAAAGAAATAACAATGGAACTTTTGAACCTCTTCTTGTCGTGAATGAAATTCTCATAACAGTTGAACAAGTCAGTCTCAACACTCTGATGGACCCATCACTCGACATTATTCAACTACGTTCCGAGATAACCAGTAGGAAGAACCCCAAAACAACGCACATATAATTTCAAATCAAAGCACAACACGACCTTTCAACACATTTCAACCTGCCATGATGTAATAATTTTGAATGAATACAACAAAACTACAACAAAAAACATCATCTGTGGTATACTTGCAAAGAGCCCTTTAGAATTGTACAACACAACATTCGCATCATTTACGAAAGCTACTCTTCGGCCACTATCTAGGTTTTCCTTCAACAAACAAAAGAGTCAACACACAAGCAACAAGAGAGACAAAACAACAACAACAACAACTAGCATTTTCATTGATCAAATGAACGAATCCATGACAAGTGCCTCTCAATGTGGTATGAGTTCCATGTCTCAACCCTACAAACCACCACAAACAACAGTTCGTAAATTTGGTAAACGAGCACCACCGAGTGTTGTCTTTTCAAGCCTCACCGGAAGTTCTACCAACAACACCTCCTCAACCAATACCTACACTCGACAATACATGACACGTGCCAAAGATTCTTTATTGAATAATATCATCATGCTCAAAGATAAATCAGTACAAAAGGATTGGAAATACTATGTATTGACCTTGAGTGTGGTGTTGTATACGAGTTTATGTAGTATCCTGATTGGAACTCAGGGAACATTTCATCAAGGAGAATATGGAGATTGGATTTGGAGAGCTGTAAATTTCATCATGACTCTCTCTTTAGATTTGCTACCGTATGAGGGAATGATGTCATTGGCAATTTTGTGCATGATTGTCTCATTTGGTGGAATTGTGTTGTATTTTTTGGCATTTCGATTGACACGAAGAGCTCGTTATTTGTTTCAATTCAAGACAGCGATTAAGGTTTTTGGAACATTTACCATTACTTGTAGTTTCATCATGATTTATATTCTCTCGTCGTTTTATGATTGTAACTATTCGAAACATGTCAAATTTACAGGTTATTCCACTCCACAGCCAGTATTGTCAAGATTTCCAATGCACATGTGTCACGATGCAACCACGATTATTTTAATGATTTTTTCAATTTGTTCAATCGTGTGCTTGATTGTCATGAATGTCATATTTTCAATCATTTTATCCAATTCACATGTGTTAAATAAGGCCATGTTTATTGTAGAGACACCTACCTTTCCTATCGTCATGTTGACCATTTCAGAGTTGCAGTTGGCAATCATGTACTTTATTCCAGAATCACTCGTTTATGTTCGATCCATTCTACATATTGTCTTGTCCTTTGTTTTGATTCCAATGCTATTTTATTCAGTTCCATATTTTAAACGAGTGGAAAATTCCATCATGAGTGGTGTGTGTTTTGCCAAATGTTTGGCTCCTGTTGGAAGTTTAGTGAGCTATTTTTCCAACTCGTCCAATGAACGATTTTTAGGATTGGGTCTGTCGTTTTTGCCACTTGCTCTCATTATTGGTGGATTTTTCATTGGATTTGTTGCCATGGAAATCTATACAAGAATGGTAGTGTGGTCCATTCGAAAAGACATGATGTTCAATTTTGATCCCACTCTCTCAGATACTGAAAATATTCAAAGATTAGAGAAAGAGTCTTCGTTTTTGGTGAAAGATCTCGAAGCTACTAAAAGAATGAGAAGCTTTGAAATGTTTATCAAGTTTAGCATTTTGAATCATTCTAAAATTAGAGGAACTCAATTGCACGATCGTGATTTAGGAATTGCCATTGTCAAGTCCATGACGAATCACAAAAATTTCACACAATCCAACATTTTATGTTTGGCTGGAATTCTAGTTGCCTTTTTTTGGGAAGAAGAATTCAATCGATTTGGATTCGCATCTGCCATGCTGAAACGAGCGTTCAAGAACAAGTCTGGAATTATACAAGATCTCATCTATCGAGAACGAATCATGGAAATTGAGATTGCTTCAGAACAAGCACGAGGAGTTAAACGTTCGATTGCTGACATTGTAGATGTGCTTGTCACGTTACAAACAAAACAGAAAAGAATCACTGCACTTCACAAAGCTTTTTGGAAATGTCTCATGGAAGAAGTGGTCAATTACAACACCGTTTCATATATTAACAGAACTATTACAAGAATGACCCGAGAATGCATTGAAACATTTGGCCATTTAATCAAAAATTATAGACATGAACGATCCATCAAACGTCTCTATGCCAGATTTGTTGAAGAGGTTTTGTTTGATTTTGAAACGGCCAATGAAATTTATGAAGAAACAGATGAAGCAGATGACGATGATACAAGATATCAAGCAGGTTACATCGAGCTTCATCATCATGGTTCTAAAGGAGGGGTTGCAGCAAAGAACAGAGTTCATCCTTATACCTCCTTGTCACCTAAAGAAAAAACCATGGCAAGTTTGGATTTAACTGGACTCCATGGAGGAAGCACAGAACTTGTTGAAAATGCTGAAGAGCTTGATTTGAAAGAAGCAGCAGAAGATGAAGCCAACAAACGAGAATTTCTAATTAGAGCTGCAATTTCAACACCACCTAATAGTATTGGGTTTGGATAGGTGACCGCCTTGACTTGTAATCTTAATTTTTCGACATGCTTAATCATGGGATTTTTAATTTTTATGAAATCGTCGGGGATGGAGGTATATCTATGTGTTGATATGACTTTCATCCATTAATTATGGGTAATTATTGAACTGTATTCGCTTAAAGTAGACCTCTCGTGCATGGTCGGGGTTTTCGTCATCTTTGATGTTGAGCTTGATCCAAGCATTTCATTCGATAGATTTTGAAGAGTAGTATATTCGTGCTAGCGACATCATTGGATAGTGAGCTAAGTTGGTTGAGTCGTTCAACAAATGGTAACAGGTGTCAAATTTTTGATAGAATTTAAGCGACACCATTTTTGTAGATCTCACGAAAATAATGGGGGTCATGATAGAGCGTTCGATCAGGTTTAGGGTAGTTTTCGAGAAAATCAAGTTTAAAGGAGTTTCAACGAGGTCAAAAATGACATGAAAATTTTTCAAAAAAAAATTAAAAAAAAATGAAGCCAAACTTCCCTGCATTTTTGAGGTGATCATCATCAACATCGGGTCATGTTTCCATTCATCATCATGACATATTCATATTGATCACATCAAATGTGCACATCATGATCAACATTCATCAGGAATATTTTGTGTGTATGAATACACATGGAAATGATAATCATCAAATAGTAATGGTTGGAATTGTAGTGAACTGCTCCCGTTGGATGTGATGATCATGGAATGAATCTGATGATCGGAATGTTGTTACAGTGATCAGAAACCATAGAATTGATCGTTGGTTCAATTCAAAATGATGGTTATTTCATGAATGGTATTCAAGTGAAGTGTGATGGTGGCTCTATGGTAGAGCTGAAAAGTACGATCGAGACAAGCACTTCACAGAACTTCATGAAATTGATATGGATGGATGTTCTGATCATCCAAACAACAAATCATCAGTTTTATTCATTGACATGATTGTTTCATGGAATAGGAGCACTTCGCTTTTCTCGGAAAACATCATTTCTTGAGGAAGGGTACA